CCCCCCCCCCCCCCCGCTCCGGCCTCTGCCTGACTTGTGATCTCTGTCAAATAAATAAATAAAATCTTAAAAAAAAAAAACTAGAACACTCATACTCTACTTGTAGAAACAGAATTTGTTGTTATGACCACTTTTGAACAAAATTTGGCATCATCTACGAAAGATGACAACGTGTATACTCTGCAGAACAGTTCTGCTGAGCTTATTCCAAACACAAATGTTTGCACGTGAGTACCCAGAGACCTACACACAAGTGTTCATAAGAGCATTATTCATAATAGCCTGAAACACGAAAAACGTGAACTCTTATAAAATACACAAAATGTGGTCTATATATCCAGAAGAATATTATAAAACCATGAACATGAATAAACTATCACAATGTGCAAGGACGGAGATGAAGAAAGAAGCCAGGCACAGAGTGCAAGCATGACTTCTTTGATACAAAGTTAAAAAGTTGGCAAAACTTAATCCATGGTGTTAGAAGGTGGAAGAGGGACAATAAAGTACCCCCCAAACTGAAAAGTCATTTTGAGACCCCAAAACAAAAGCAGGGCCCACCATGCAGTTTACACAGAGTTTTCTTCAGAGTAACTTACTGATGGGGGAAGGGAGAGAGTCAGACCGACAAGGACCCAGGCCCTGTACAGCTCTTCTCCAAAAAGTCTAGACTTCAGTCCACAGATTTTTTAGAGCGAGGGGACACTGTATTCCAGGACACTGTAGGGAGACTGAGGGGCTCACGTGCACCTAATTGACAGCTGACCTTTATTTAGATCTTGTGGCTCCATCTATACCTCAAAAAGAGGGAGGACTATTTTATCTCCGATTCTTCCGAGGCCAAAGTGAACCTTCCCCTATACCGACGGCCTTGGTGGGCGTTTCTGAGCTATGTATGTTACTCTCCAATGGGTCTGGAGCACATAACCACAAAAGAAGTCATCAAGCAAACATGAACAAGATGGAGGGCCAAAGATGGAGGGCCAAAGATGGAGCCAGTATTTTCAGCGCTCCTACACATGGTGTTGGTAGAATGACCTTCTTTGGGGAGGAGAGTCGGGAGTAACTGAGGGAAGACATGAGATGCTTCAAGGGTAGGTTCTCGTTGTGATAATTGTTGACCTTCACCCTTAAGATTTGTACACTGTTCTGCAGTATGTTACATTTGAATTAAAACTTTTATTTAAAAAAAGCAAAAAGTGGTCCTCTAGATTACCTCTGAAAACATACACGCTGGTAACAATGGTTACTTCCAAGACTGATGAGCTGGGTGATGGTTCAAACTTTGAAAATAGTGTACCATATGCATGCGTTAACTACACGAAATGAATAAATAGTACAATAAAATTTTTTTAAATGTTTCCTCTGGCTGGAAAGAGACTAGAGTCAGAACAATCACAGAGGCTCTACATTTCTAATCAAGGTCATCAGTGAGGTTGAAATTACCTTTACATTGAGGGGCTGGAAGCGACCAGTGGGAGTTCCTGCAGGTGATTTTGGACTCTCCAACCAGAACATATCCTTCATCACATTCATATTTTACGACAGTAGTATAGGAGAAAAATGAACTCACGTCTTTATGGGATCCATGGGCAATGCTCGGAAATATTCTGCAATCTTGAATGGTAAAAGAGAAGGGTGGGGGACAATGAGCTAGGGTTTAATTTAATTAACAATTCAGAGTGAGGGACTCTTCTTATTTTGTTGAATGAAGTAATTAAATTACACTGCAGAGGTATATTTCAATTCCTTAACAAAATCAATAGGAATGGTTTACTGAGAACTTAGCTACTTGCTAGGCACTGTGTTAATCATTTTAGATATGTTAAATCAATTAATCCTCGCAATAACTTTCTGAGGCAGTACGATCATCATTCCCATTCTAGAGAAAAGGAAACTTAACCTTAGAGGGGTCAGATGTTGCACATAACGTCACAGCTAGGAGGTGTCAGTAACATGAATCAATCTCAGGGATTAAGCTCAGGTTTGTATCAAACTCAACTGGTACTTTCTGGAATCCTGCTATCTTCTGCTGTCTGTAGCGATCATTGGATGCTTACTTTATAGAGGCATCAATAGATATCTAAAGGCCATAAAATGGAAGTTTTGGTTAAAGAACAGTACTCTTGCACAGTCAAGTAACATCCCATAATTGATGAAGTAGGCAGCTCAGCATCCCTTAGAAAACTCCTAACTCCTTCTCCCAAATCAAAAGCACTAAAAGGTTAAGAATTTAATCTTTTAAATTCAAATTAGTCCCAGGTAAGGCAAATATGTGGGTTCATTTCTCCTTCAGACTGACAGAGGGGCTCTAAGGAGCTCACTGAGAAAGGCCAATATATCTCTTTTCACTTTGCAGGGATATTAGACACAGTGGCCTAGTATTGAGCTCCTGCCTGGGAAATCCATAATGCAAAAGGGGGCTGTCTAGTGGCTCTGTTGGTGAGGGTGAAGGACATATTTCTGCTGCTTTGAGATTGGCCCGTACTCCTGACATTATTTGGAACAAAGGATGAGTGAGCACTTCCAGTGAGTTGGAAACAGGCTGCATGAAAAAGACAGGCCTGGTGGTATTGTCTTCAGACCTGTGCAAAAGGACCTCCTGAGGTTAGAAGAAAGCTTCAGTGAAAATAAATCCCTAGGAGTCCCTAGGTCTTTAGGAGATAGGAAAGAGAAAGAGATCATCCAGAATCAGAGATGGATCCTGGGATCTAGCAGACCAGGGGATTGCAATTAGCAGATTCTCAGTGATGAGGAAGGACCCATCAAAAAACAGCAGCAACAACAACAAAACACAAGAGAGAAAGCAAGCTTGAAACACTCTTGATGCAAAGAATCAGCTCAGGTCAAGCACTGTTTCCCTTACCTCTGCTTTTCCCAAAGCTTTAACTCTGAAGGGTCCAGAAGGCATAAGAACAATAATCCCAAAGTAAGTTGCTTTAGTATCAAGGAAAAGGAATTCACCTGTGCATGAGTCAACAGCTTCCATATAGCATTTCTTAAACTGCAGATTAGGCCCCTCCACAGAAATACAAAAAAAATAGCTCTTAATTTTTATAACCGAACACACATGCAGAGTTCTGTACTATGCTTCTCAGGCAATATCAAGGAGGCATAATTGCAATGTACTTAAAAAGATAAGATGTAGCCCTGGTGTAGGAAAGACGTTAGGGTTTGAAGCCAGTGGCCAAGGAAGAGTTCTTGTGGTGTCTTTGGTGCAAAAAAGTGGTTTTTTGAAAGCATGGGGACAGGACCCATGGGCAGAAAGAGCTGCATTGGGGTCATGAGGAGTGACTAATTTTATACTTCCAAGTTGGAAGGGGTTAGGAATAATATAAGACTCTAAGGAATATGGAAGCAAGGTTTCCAGGACCTTGAGGGGGCTAGCTATGTCATTTATTGTCTATTTATTACTGTCTAATAAAACCTTAATTATGAGACCCTTCATATGTATATCGGTGGCCCATATGCTTAGGGGATGAGTGCCAACATGTATCTTGGGAGGTTTGGAGATTAAGGAAGTTTCCAAAAGAATTTTTATATGTTAAAGTAGGCTTACAGCATCGGGACATGGGGAGGGGGGGTGTCAGTCTAGGATTACCTTTTCCCCATGGCAAAGTGTCAACATCAAGGCAGCTGAGTCCCTAGAGAAGTCTCACTCTGCCTGTCTTAAGGACTTGTCAGTGGGCTGTAGGTAGTAAGGAAACTTAATGATTTTTCTTCTGCCTTTGTTTCCCACATCAGCCACATACATAGTTGTACTACAACTCTCTATCAGTCCACTCTAGTGCCAGATTAGGTCAGGAAATTAGTTCTATAGGAGAAGGTGTTGGCAGGATGGAGGGAAGATCTCCAGGAGTAAGCTGGAGACAGGTCTCAAAGGATGGGTGGAAGTTAAGTGGTTGGTAAGATAGGTGAGGCAGAGCAATACTGGGGCCATGAGAAAAGTCTGGCATCAGAAGTCCTTACGGTGAGGGAAAGGACCTTCAGATCAGAGCGCACAGACATTATCATTTCAGAGGGTTGGGGCCATGGGAAATGGGAAGAGATGAGGGAACAGAAGGAAAAAGGGGAAGGGAAATGGGATCATGAAGAAATAATTGAAAGACATGACAAATTTGATTAGGTCTTCCTCTATCACCCCAGACTGTGTGAGAGGGGAACTTAGAGATGAAGTTGAGAAAAGTCTCCTGAGCATGAAGTCCTTTATCTTGCCACTCAATAATAAATTTACACTGCCACTCAATAATTTTCATGCATCTGATGTGAAAAATCTTTTTCCAAACATTGCTTCCTTAATTAACCCATGTTTTCCCCTGACCACTCTCAGTGTTGAAGAAAGCATGGCTTCCACGTTTTTAAATCAACAGGCCAGCTCACCTAGGAGCAGTCAGTTATTATTTTAAGGTTGGGGTTTTTCCCTCTAAACTATCTCAAATCCTTAACTTTTATGCCATGATAGCTGTTTCAGAGGATATGTTAATAAATATTTTTAGGTATGAAAATTAATTCTCTCAGATAAAAAATAATGTCAGCTAACAAAAGAACACAATATAACTTTGGTTAAAGGACATTTCCATTTAAATAACAGAATAACAAATAAACTTCCACAGCAGCAAGCCTTCAGTTGGTTCTGGTAACTTCTCTCAGACACTTTTGTTTCTCTTTCTGACAAAAATTTCCCTATGTTTCAATAACAATGTCTTACATTTATATAATGGTTTACAATTCATAAAGTACTCTATAATTTTACCTCAGAAAATTTACTCAGTATTTGATAACAGAAAATTTATTTTAGAATTTTTATTTCTCATTAGTTTTTAATCCCAGTATAGTTAACATACATTGCAATAGTAATTTCAGGTGTACAACACAGTGATTCAATATGTCCATACAAAACCTGTTCTCATTACCAGAAGGCCACTCCTTAATCCCCATCACCTACTTCACCCATACCGCTGCCCACCTACCCTCCTGTAACCATCAGTTTGTTCTCTATAGTGAAGAATCTCTTTCTTGGTTTGTCTCTTTTATTCTTTCTTTCATTGTTTTGCTTCTTAAATTCCACATATGAGTGAAATCATACGGCACTTATCTTTCTCTGGCTGACTTATTTGACTTAGTATTATCCTCTCTAGCTCCATCTGACAACAGAAAATAGTTTTGCTTTTCAGATGGAAATTATTCTTAATCAATAAATAACTAAGATTATGGATGGTATAATTAACCTATTTGGAAAGTAAATTTGTTCTATGTATCTTGGAGCATTGAAATATAAGAAACTGATTTGAAAATTCAAGATTATTTTTTGCTAAAGCCGCCTCACGAGGAATTTTGCATATCAACACATTTTTATTCTATATATAATAATAGCTTCTACCTGAATTAAAACTATTTCCTTTTTATTCTAAAATTCTTCATTTTTATTAATACATAGTTCATTATACTCTCTCAAAAAGATTATGAATTACCACTATTTGATTATATTCAGTTAATTCTTAATTGGGTATTTGTCCTGCGTATCTTAGAGAAACTACCCTCCTTTCCCTATAACTACTGTACTCACCACACAAGCCAGAAGGGTACAGCAGTAGAGTCAAGACCCCAAAGACGTACAGTGCTGGGAAATTGCTCTGCAACTTGGAAGCCATGGGTCTCAGAGGTGCTATACTGGGGCTCAGTGTTCTCAGACCCTTGAATTAATCCTAAGAAAAGAATTCTCAGTAACAATTGAAATGGTGCCTAAGCCAGTGTAACCAGCCTTGGCAAAGTCTCAGTTGTGTGTCACTAAAGGGGAGGGACAGGGGGAGTGACAAGAAGACCAGGTGCTGAGCACAGCTCTAACAGGGGTCAGCTGATAAGGCCCCATTCTTGCAGACAAGAGTCTGGAGGTTGTTAGGAGAGCCCTCTGGGATTTTGTATGTAGTTATTGTTGTTATCCTAAAACTCCCTTGCTGTTCAGATGCGGCACGTGGTGAGTTCCTTTCTGGATATATCCATGATTCCTCTGAGTAAACAAGAGCAAAAAAGCACAGGGGAGTGCAGCCCATGATGCCCAGTGTACGTGGTGGGTTCTGCAGGAATTTGAACCCATAGCATGAGAGGAAAATAGAATGTCTGCCAAAGGGTGCCTGTTTGAGAAGTGGTTTCTGTGATGAGAAGTAGGTGTGACTTGCCCATAGAAGAATGGATTTTTTTTTTAAGCTTGAAAATTAAATTTCTTTCTAGATAGCACATAGGCTAGGCAGAACAGAGTAGTATGAGTCTCTAAGTGTGGAAAATCTCAAGAATGCAGTCCACACAATTATAATTATAATTACAATTACAATTATTATACTACCTCAGGGGGAACCTCTTTTCCCTCATTCCTGGGGTTTTTAATGTACATAAAACATCAAATGATTCACTCCGTGAAACTGACTGTTCTAGTGTAGAAGCTATTCTAGCCTGTGTTTGCAACACAGAAAAAGCATGCATTGAAAGTTAAGTGGTTGAAGATGATTAATTAAGGAGAAAGGAAGATTTATTATGACTCTCAGAATATCTGAATGATGCTGGATCCTGGAGAACCTAGCATTTTGCTTCTAAGCAGTAAACACAACTGGATGGAAGGCACATTTGTTATTCCTCTTAGACTGGTAACCTCTAGACTAAGTGTCCCATAACCATCTGGGATTGCCTGGTTATTCATCTGCTCACTTCCTAAATTTAGGAAATCAAACTTTGGGAACTTCAACTTAAAGAGTTAAGTGGGATGGATGAAACTATCAACCTGGATTCTATATCTTGCCCACCAACTGGGAATATCTGTTCCTTGAAGAGACAAAGATGGTTGTCTAAGCAAAGGAGCAAATTCTGAAAATTGTCCTCAAGTGATCTTCACTACTCAGCTGAACTGGAAGGATTGCTACATACCGATTATAGACAAAATGCTTCTCTTTCAGAAATAAGAGTTACCAAATATAGCTGAACAAAATTCTTTGGAATATTAAGGTAAGCACAATTAAAATTCAACAAAAGAAAGCAAGTAAATTCACTGAATAGTTGCTTCCTTTAAAAAGAGGAACCACAGGGACACCTGGATGGCTCAGTGGGTTAAGCCTCTGCCTTCAGCTCGGGTCATGATCTCAGGGTCCTGGAATCGAGCCCTGCATCGGGGTCTCTGCTCAGCAGGGAGCCTGCTTCCCTCCCACCCCTTCCTGCCTGCCTCTCTGCCTACTTGTGATCTCTGTCAAATAAATAAAATCTTTGAAAAAAATAAATAAAAAATAAAAATAAAAAGAGGAACTACAATAAAGAGATTCATGTAATTTAAATGATTAATCAACATGTTTTGTTAACCTGCCTTTAATCTTTAAGGTCTGTAACAGAACTTTACATAAATTATTATAATGAGTTCTGAAAAACTCTTGTGACATGGCTCTTGCCTACCTTGTTGAATAGATGAGGAAACAGGTTCAGATAAATTAAGTAAATTGTCCCCCAAACTCTGCAGATAATTAGTGGCTAAGCCAAATTTTGACCCAAGACTGATAATTAAAATCCAAGCTTTTTCTTTAAACCAAAATAATTTGTATTTTTTTTGGCCAGTAATGATTTCCTGTTAGGACACTGATTCAGCCATATGGGAGTATATCAACATCATTGGCTTTTACCCAATGGTACACCCACCCTCCAGATGCTGCTGGAACTGCAACTAATGGCTTAGACCCATGACCTCCAAAGCATGTACTGTGATGATCAGAGCCGCCTGACTCCTGATATAGAAAGTTATACCGTGCTCCCTCAGGAGCAACCAATGCCTGGCTGAGCTTGGGATACCAAAGCCCTGATTCCTTGATTCAAATCTGGACAACTCTGTGATACAGTTGATGCCCTAGAGCCCACTGTGGATCAGGTGAAGTTTACACTTAACCTGAGAGTAGGTTTTTGCTCAGTTCTTTTCCCTCTTGTTGTTTCATTCCCTTATAGTTCCTTCCCCGCCCCCCCGCCAAAATCACACTATCAAAACTTCATATGCACCTGAATCCCTTCTAGAGAGATTGACTGAAGACAGTTTATACCACAAGTGGATCTAGGAAGCAAACTCTAAGAACGAGATTCTAGAATTGGATCACCCACTAGCCAACTGACAATCAAGACTCCCTCACTGGGGGGGTGGGGTGAGTGTCAGTAGCCCTGGCTTAATGTAGCATTGCAACTATGAACATTGTCACCTGGTAAACTGTCATGAAGCGTAGATGGAGAAAAACACATTGGCCAGTGAAATACCTCTAATATTTGAGAGTTGCGTGGAAATAGGACTGTGAAATTGGGTGGCTGAGGACTATTGATGCAAGCTCAGCAACCTCTTAGCTGAAAGTAAAAGTTCAAGGCACTCAATCACAATTCAAATCCAGCTGTGAAGTCCAGGAGCCCCTCCCTATCCCCATTAGTATTTAAAGAAACTCTTATGCCAGCTAGCTTGGAGACTAGCTAAGGACCAGGGTCAGGATTTAATCATAAAACAATAGTAAAACTTCAGAAAAAAATAAATTCTTAGCCTTGGCAAGTCTCTACTTAAAGTCAGGACCCTAATGGAGGGAGGGGCACCCTTAGACTTGGCGTTAGGATATGCAGGTAGGTGCACTACAGAACTTCAAACTCCAAATTTACCTAAACCCAAAGAGCTTACAAAATTGGCCCAGTTTCCCTTGTTATAAGATAGTGCCCCTGCTGCTTGAAGACCAGCAGAGGAATCAAATACATTGGGTATCTTCTAAGGTCATAACTGCTTTCCTCAAGATCTGCCCCATCTCACCTCCAGGCCAAGAGCTGAAATCAAACCTCAGTATGAACTGACTAAGGACATGTTGAACCTACTAATAGAGGAGATAAATCATATGCAGGATCTGCAAGACTTAGTATGTAGTAGGACTGGGAGAGTATGCCTTGGAGGGGATCATAAAGCTGGACAAGGGAGAGTTTGTCAGGATAGGGACACTGTTCCATAACACAAGATAACAATGCAAGTGCACTGGGAATCAGCTCTTGTGTGCTTCTGGGATGCTTTTGGAAGCTCGGGGAAAATTATGGTCCAAAATGGTATAAAGATGCCAGAACTGCTAAGGCAGACTAAGTAGGAAATGATTAAAGACTCAGAGAAGTAGACATGTTAGAATGATCCATTTTAGGGGTGCCTGGGTAGCTCAGTCGGTTAAGTATCTGCTTTTGGCTCAGGTCATAATCCCAGAGTCCTGGGATCCAGCCCTGCGCTGGGCTCCCTGCTCTGTGGCAGTCTACTTCTACCTTGGCTCTCTCCCCTGCTCGTGCTCTCTCTCTCTCTCTCTATCAAATAAAAATAAAAGAATGATTTATTTTATAAAAACCAGAAGGCCTACCTGCCATTTTCTTCATGAGAACCCTGAGGATGACCATTTACCAGGATAATAAGGAACGCCCCAGCAACAAGGACCAAGATTATAGAGAAACTCTATTCTGGCTAGCTAACTGTAGGTTGCATTTTTGGCAGTAGATATTATCAAATGTGACTGTCTAATAGGAGTAGGGATTAGAGAACCCCAGGATAGCAAGGCTAAGTAACAGCACTCTACCTCCAGAAGTGGACTTGGTGAAAAGTAGTGGAGGGCCATGACTGAGTTATGTAAGAATATGCCTAGGATGCAAAATCAAGGAAGACACTCATTCTCAGGGTTGTGCAGGTACAAACCCTCAAAATGAGTGCCTCTTTAATGGTGAGGCATATACGGCTGCAAGATTGGGAGGCAGCCAGGGGGAGAGAACATCCTGACCTATAGAAATCTCTGAAGAGGTTAATAGAATATGGTGTTCCTGAGGGTAAGGATTGGCCAACATAGGCATTGCATGATACGTAATCAAAGAGTGATCCAAAGACTGAGATAAGCTGCTCCAATAAAAGTCATGATCTTTTGCCCAATTATGTTTTTTTTTTAACTTGGCAATTTTCTCACTCATTCTCAAACTTAAAGACAGATTCCTTTGCAGAAGGACCATGTAGCACGATAGCAAGTATATACAGTAATATTTCTCCAATCCTTTACCAAAGGAAACTTCGGTGATTTGCTTTAGTGAATGTGCACTAGGACCTCTAGAGACGTGTTGGATCTGAGCTGTCTGTGATTCCTGGGAACAAAAAGTACCACCACGACCCCAGTTAAAATAGGAGCTACAGGAGCCAGGCAATAAAATGATCCCTAGTTCATGTTTATCTCACCATGATTCATTGAGTTTATGGACCCACAAGGCAGTCATTTCTGTGGCTCTCAAGTGTACACAGTTTGTGGCAGTTTGCAGGACCCTTACATTAGTTCTCTGACCTTTGAAATAAGAGCTATCAAAGTAAGAAAACCCATGTAAAAAGATCTACAAATGATATTAATACTGACACACTGCATGATTTTCCCTTAAGATTAGGAATCAAAGCAGGGATATCTACCCCATCATTCATATTCAGCAATATATTGGAGGTCCTAGGTAGTACAATAAGGTAAGACAAATAAATAAAGGACACTCAGTTTGGAAAGGCAGAAACAAAATTGTGTTTATTTTCAGGCATGATTGTTTATTTGGTAAATGCCAAAGAATTTATAGAAAACTTGCTCGTACCTATGAAAGAATTTCATAAGGTCACAACAGACACGGTCAATATATAAAACTTAGTTGTATTTCTACATACTAGCCATAGCAATGAAAACTTGGAAATCAAAATTTAAAAAGTACTACCATCTCAAGGGCAATTTGCTAGG